TGACTGAATTGGCTTCACCTCATGAAATGGATTATTCTGTCTGTTGCCAAATGAAATTACTCTTACCATTACATTTATAAATATACATTATTTGTACACTTTTCAACCACAAAGTGAAAAAGAAATACACGGGTAAGGGAAGAAGAAAGAATACCAGGGGAAAGTCAATGTAGGAGTGTAACCTCTCTGCAGGAAAAAGAGAGGGCAAGCTGTTACAAGGACCTTTGATGGGAACTCACAGCACGTTCACAGGTTTATGCGTGTGTGACGCAAGATGCAACTGAGCACACATGACCAATTTCTGTTTGAATGTATCGTCGTTATATATGTACTGGACATCTGGACGCAAAGATGCCCGCCAACTTTAAAAGCGTATTAATAGCCATAATAGGCCACAGTCTGTCATAGTCAGGTTCTGAAAAGATATGGTGTGGGAGCCAAAAGTAGTTTTAGTGAGGGCAAATCAACATGGATGGATGCGACTACATGTAGGTGGGTTAAGTGATACCGGAAGCTGCTCAACTCAAATCAGTCTTGCTCAACAAACTAGTTGAATCAGTTGTGAAAAGAGGCTGGATTAGATGTCAGGAGCTGTTATTGTACTTTGTTTGCCTTTGTGTATGAAGTTCGCCAGTTGTTTCCATTACAAATATCCAAGGGGGACACAGCCCTGGGGCATGTTTCTTCAACCTTCTTGAAAAACCCTTCAGAACTTTACGTAAACATCTGGTAACCGTAACGTAGGGGGAGTTGTATGTAGGTCAATTTGTCCAGGTACATGTACGTGCAAATGTCGCATCAAGCTGACCAAATTTCACAAGTCCTCGACAGCGCCAATCAGCGTAGTCTTTACTGCAGGCTGCAATCTCTGTGAAAAAGCCTTTGAGTATGTGAAGTTTGTACAAGTCACGCTCTGAACACCGCCACTAATGGACTATTGATCAAGCGATAGGGGGTAACAAGGAGGGTCAGGAACGCTGCCCTACTTCTGGCAGACAACAGTCCTCTTCAGTCTCCAGTCTTTCAGTTTAATAATCGGGAGATAGGCATGCAAAATGGTAGATTTAAAGTCTCAAAATGTCAGTGTTCAGTGTTTTTTTCATGGAGAAGTGACCAAGGCAATTGGTGAGTGACTAGTCGGGCCCTGGATCGAAGTTGAGAGCACAAATTGAATTGAGGGACGTTGGGCCTGTCCCCGTCTACATTCAGATTTTGTAGCCAGTAGTTTTTGCTGCTGGCTTAAACTAACTGTGGTATACTCTAATAAATGACATATCTCCTTTAATGTGCATGTTTATTACCAGGGAATTCCAGACTTGCTTCTTGTATCACTTTGAAAGCCAAACTCAATGGACAAATAAAGTTCCACCTGGCACTAAACTCTTGGGTTTTGGTTTCCTGTTTTCATCATGAAATGATGCAAATTCATGGAGGTCTTATTACAAATTTGCAACTGGGAATTTAGAAAAAAATCATGGCTGCATCAGATTTGTGTACAGATTCCACTATTTCAAATTGTGGTAACATAAAAATAACAGTAAAATATCATGTCCAGCATTTCAAAGATTCACAGTATCAAACAGTATCTTTCATTCATGGAGATGCCAATAGGTATGTTATATTTATAAGATAAATATTTCATCGTTGCTGCCCATCGGGCGTATCGTCTGAATGTTCCTGAAACCATCTCAGCTCCCTAGGGAATATACCATACATGTACATGTACGTAGCCCAATGCTGCCATTTCAGATCCAATTTATACCGCACTGTACCTGCCCTAACAGGTACCCATGAATTCCGGGTTGAAGCAAAGTATGTGGGGATAAATTGACTAGCCTCAGGTTGCGACATGTAATCACCAGCCAGGATTCGAACCCCCCCTAACTCTATGATCAGAAGCTGCAAACCCTAACCACTGGGCCGCACGTCCCCATATACACATGTGCTGTACACGAAGGAAACAGCTGACCTGAGGAAAGCTTCACGCCTCTCAATCATTAGGTGACAGATTTTGAAGATTCCTATAAGGGACCTGCTTTCACATGGTTTGATTGAATGGGGGTTCTTGTTTACCACATGCAATCATAAATGTACACATATCCATGGAACTGGAGAGCCTGAAGATGGACCGATGGCATGAATGCCATCATCACCTTCCCCAATAAACCACTACATACGCAAATATGTTGTTTCCGTCTCGTTTCTTCTGGCAACTCATTAATAAGCAAAGCAGCTGTACCACGATTTCAGAGGAATTGTTTTGAGACTTTGCTGGGCATGCAGGATGACTCTCGTCCAGAAGCAGGCTAATTAATGCATGGTCTCAACTCTCCCATCTACATGTTACCCCACGGGCCAATGAGGAAATCACTTGCATAGCTGTATCATATTGCTACTTCTTCTCTTCCCCCAGTGTTTTCCACAATACAGCTATCGGGGACTCGGCTTGGCCTAGAAATCCTTACCGTGCCATCACAGGACGAGGAAAGCCCCTGAAAATGGAATTTGGATTACAGTGGCTCAAAATAATTCCTTGCTGAAAGGAAAAAACAAAACGCGGGAAGTTGCTGGAGAGAACATGATCCACAGGTCAACATTAATGTGGCAAAGCAAATCCCTTTGGTTGTCAGGCAGTCAAAAGTGGATTTTTCGGAGGGCAATTTTTATGCTTGTGGGAAATAACTCATTTACACTGGCTTTGTCCAATAAATAGCAAACAGAGGACGGGATAAGCGAGCACAAAAATACTGACATAAAACAACAAAACCTATCTTTGCCCTGCATGAAATAGAACACTTGATTGTAGCTTTGTACACCTTTAACTCTCAAAGAACAATCTGCAAACCTGCCTTAGGTTTTAACGGATGGGCATACTTTTTGGCAACTTCAGAAAGCCTAGATTTTCACAGCAGCTTTGAGTGTTTACGTACCATACAAGGTACAGTGTATGTCTCCGGCAGTGGTGCAGTGTGCCTCCATACAAGGTTTTCTCGTAAAAAAAAAAGTTATCCCACCTTAAAGAGTTTGTATCCAATCTACATGTTTACAAGCAAAAAGCTTGGTATCATCTAGCCCCCTAGGGACCATTGAAATCCTGCATAATCTTGTTGGGTTCAGCACGGTTAGGGTTAAAGAAGAACGTCTGTAAGCTTTCCAGTTATACATTGAATGCTTATCCTGGGCAGACCTGACGGGGATGACTTTGCAACCTGCTAGTCTTTCATTTCTAGTATATGCTGTCTGAATATCAAAATTGTCAGAGCAGTGATCACCAGTTTACAATTCGTATTCGATCATCGTTTACTCAAGAAGTCTCCAGAAAAACCAATAACTTTATATGCAGCGGTCTCAATCCACTTTATGCCGTAATGTTGTTCTGTTATTTGCCAAAAAATATTTCAAAACATTTCAGGGAGTTAACCTCCAATGGCAAAACTTTGATGCAAATCTTTTGTGTGAGGGAAGGCGCAGCACATAATGAATGGAAGATTTTACAACAGAAGACTGACTGCTACTAGAAGTTCTCAGCTTTAAAACAGGTAACTCAGACTCACGGAAGGGAAACTTAGAGATTTGCGAGAACCGAGTACTTAAACAGATTTGACTTAATTTTTCTTTTGAAACGGCTGGCAGAGCCATTGATTATTCATTCACACATCCAATGTCAACGAGGTTTTAAAATACTTTCCATAGGTGTGCCACATTTCATGAATCCTTTTGAAATATTACACAGGTGTGCGACAACGCTGTTGCGCAGATCCTGTGCACGATACAAGTTGTGCACTATTTGGACAACCCATGCTAGCCCGCCAGATAACCCGTGTCTCGCTGGACAATTAGTGGAATAATCTCTCTTGGAATAATTCATCTCTATGCCTTGGCTCAAAGATTTTGAATGCACTAAAGCTGTTCCAACATGTACAGGTAACCAAGAGAGAGTTTACCAGTTTTACTTCAACATGGTTATTTTTACTGGTTTAGTTGACAAAGTGCTTCTTACTTGACTATTTTCTGTTCCAAATAGCATTGGATATGTGCAATTTAAAAACTCACTTAGCAAGGGTACCCACATTTCTTTCAATGGAGCACCCAATTAACAAGGGTAGCCATG